AATGCAGTCGTGTCTTAATCAGTCCCTGCTCACTGCCTGCTCTAACGGAATCAGAGCCCTGCTCCAAGGCCCCACTTTGTGACAGGGTGGTGCAGAAGAGAGGCAAGGACCAAGAGGTGTCAGTTTTCCGGGCCCCTTTCCCACTGGCACTGTGAACCAGGCGGCCTCTGCCAAATGCACTTGTCAGGCCAGGGCAACATTGAGACAGTGTAGCCAACGGGGTCATAACTTTGGGACACATTTACATTTTGGAGGGAGGGAGGAAACGAGACAAATCAACGGTGATTGCGGAGATTCCTTTGCAAGTCGGCTGTTCTATCACAGGCCCTCAGGCAGCTCCTGAGGCTGAAGGAGCAGCCCTGGATGAAGTGTTCCACCCTGCCCAGCCCCTACCCAGTAAGAGCTGACTGAACCGGGGCTCAGCTGCCCCAAGAGCGGCCCATCCCCTGGCTCACTGTGACCTTGCCCCACAGCCTCTGCCCGCTATGGACAACCTGGGCCGGATCCTTTTTTCCTGCAGGGGCTTGGCATCGGGAACAGAAGTTACAGCTGAGAGGACTGGGGGCTGGAGACAAAAGGTGGTGAGAAAGAAGGTCTCATCAATGACAGTGCTGCTCAGCCTGAGGCAGCATCTGGTTCTGAAGACTCCTCTTGGCACCGCCCGCCAGCCCGACCGCCCTGCCCACCATCTGGGGCCCCAGGAGAGGTGAGAATCACCCCAGGAGGAAGCCAGGAGAAGCAGAGAGGGCCAGGAGCTCGCTGGTGCCTCACCTCCAGCCTCATGGTGAGGGGGCTTCACAGCCCCCCTTCCCGAGTTCCTGGGGCCTGTTGTCAGCAACCAGGGGCCCTCAACTCCTCAGGAACCTGACACAGCAACAAAACAGCATGCCAACTGGCCAACTACGGCTCTTGTGCACCTGTGCACCCTTTATGTTCAGTGGGGGGCACAGGGTACTGTACTAGGTCTCACAAGCCGTGGGGAGGGTCTCCAGAGGGTGCTGGGGCCTGCAGAGGCTAGCACGGAGTTCTGGGTGCACGGACTCTGGTGAGGACTTAACTCATGAGGGGAAAGACCCAACTCCCTGCATCACACTTCCAAGCCCCTTCCACCTATGCCGCATTACCCAGGAGTGATGGAGAAGTTCCTGGGCAAGGAATTGACTGCACTTTGGGACAGGGGCACCCAGCCACTTCTGTTCATTAAGAAGAATTTATAAGATCTTTTTAATTAGGCCCCTAAAGGAGGCTGAATGACACTAAGAGCCCAATTTTCCAATTTTACTATGTTGTACCCAGATGACTCTGGTTAAAAAGCAATGACATTGACTAACAGGACTGATCGTGCCATGGTAAGTGGGGTCAGATGATGATGCAAATCAGTACGCATCTTCCTTTCCCTCCAATTCTTCAAATAAAGCACCTTTTTTCTTCTTTCTTTGAAAGTTAACTAGCAAATGAAATATTTACATTAAGGGCTACTTCACCCAGGTACAGGAAGTAAGAGCAAAATAAAACAAGAGCATCTGATGGGCTCAAAAGTCAAATTTCCAAATTAAATACATACATGGTCAAGCACCTGATGGAGGAAGATGTGAAGGTGAGAGGGTACCCAGGACTCCCCCAAATCACGGTCTAAAATCACATACTTGCCCTACCTGCCTGACAGGAGTCCTGATCCGTCAAAGGATGGCTGCTTAATTTTTAAAAAATGACCAAGACAAGGACCAGGCCAGACAGAGAAGACAGGAGACAGAAAAGCCCAGCAAATGATGGGAAACGGTGCTTGGGGCAGGAAGGGGAGAAGAGGAGCGTGCTGCTAGGCCTTTCTGTCCCAGACACAGAAGATCCCCCTGCAGAGGCTGGGAAACTGCCCCTCTTTCAGAGTTAGGGCCCACAGGCCAGTCACAGCATCACTGCAGGAGAAAAAGTTCCCAGGAGGAATAAAGGTGGTTCACATACTCCAGCTATCTGCCCACCGTCCTTCTGAATTTTTTTCTTCTGTGGAAGGAAAAGATGTGAATAAAAGAATGGATTTGTTTTAAAATCAGGGGACTGACAGGAAACTAGCAACACAATCGAATTCCACAGGAAACAGGCGGGAGGGTGTGCCCCCTGCTGGATGCAGGCTGGCACGTGGCCACACTTCCAGAGCCAGGAGTGAGCGTTAAGTAGCGTGGCAGCAGCATCCCCTCACCAAGGGACCCAAATGGCCGAATCTGAAGTCACCGACACATGCACACGGCCAGAGCAGCACAGAAGGAATACTGTTATTCTCACCATCAAAGGCTTCTTCGTTTCATAAAAGGACGTGCTTGTTGCGGCAGCACATATACTAAAAGGATGTGCTTTAGAGACTGGTTTCCATGGAGAAGCAGCCTCACTGTATTTTGAGTGGTACTTAAAACCAAATGTGTGGTTCCCCCCAGAAACTCTGCTCAGGTACAGTGAGGGAGCTTGGCACACATGTCCACAAACATGGTGTGGCGTTAGGGCACTGGCAAGGGAAAGCCCTCGAGTCAGCGCTCGGGCCCAACTACATTTCCAGGAGGTGGCCAAGGGGTGGAGGCAGAGGTCAGCAGAGTCTAGAGGGCCTGCTGCCAACGTGCTGACAGCCCAGGAGGCAGGTGCTCATAGTGAGAACACACCCGCTTGCCCAAAACTCAGCCGTGGGACTACTTTTCCTATAAACAGGGAGGTAGGACATGGGAAGGAGCCCTGGACTGCTGGCCTAGCTGGCCATCTTTCAAGAGGAGCTGGCCCTGGGGCACCAGGATGGATGGCTCAGTAGGGTAAGCGACCGACTCTTGGTTTCAGCTCAGGTCGTGATCTCACGGTTTTGTGAGTTCGAGCACTGCATCAGGTTCTGCGTGGACAGTTTGGAGCCTGCTTGGGATTCTCTGTCTCCCTCTCTCTCTGCTCCTCCCCAGCTTGCGCTTTCTCTGTCTTCCCTCAGAATAAATAAACTAAAAATAAAAAAATAAAGAACAACAACAGAGGAGCTGGCCCTGACCGCAGCGGCCCTGTGCTGACAGCAGTTCCAGGTGGACCGTGCGGGGTGAGGGATGAGAGACCAGAGCACCAGCTGTCAGGCACAGCCTCCACACCGGGGAGCACAGCAGAAACCTGGCTGGGCCCATTCCCGAGAGCTGGGGAGTTGGCAATATTGTTAGGCAATAGCAGCTCCTCCTGGAGCAGAGAATGATCATTGTGAACGTGTGCACAACTGGTCCCGAACCCTGATGCAGGTGAGGACGATGGGGTGTGCTAACCTTAGTTTGCCAAAAAGGCTGATCCCAGTGCCCTGCCCCCAGACATGATGGTTCCAAAGGTCTGGAGTGGGTCCTGGGAAGCTGTATTTCTAACTTGCAACCAGGCAATTCTGAGGCAGGTAGTTTAAGGGCCACTTTTGGAGTCTGGGGTCAAATGGGCATGCGGTGGGTAAAACGGTTCCAGGGGAGAGGGTGGTGGCCAAGGGCAGCAGAGGAGGAACTTGTGAGCCCTAAAGGTCGATTTCTGTACACTCAAGAGGTAAATAAAAGTACACGGAGGGAGGGAGGGCTGCTTCAGTGCGTGCTGCCCACCCCACCCCATGGGACAATCAGTTCTAAGCTAGCCTGACCATGCCTTACAAGAGCATAATCAAGGCCACGCTTTGGGAGGGTCTCTGACTGGGCAATGATACCTTGCATTTAGCTACTTTTCCAATTAGCACAAAGCATTCTCCCTTTGAACAGATAAAAAGTCCAAGTGGCTTGGCGCTAGTCTCCACGTGCTGTGGGTCTTGGTCCTTGGCCCCTGGGTGTGTATTAAAGGGGTGCATTTTAGCCAAACCACCACCTGACACAAGTTGCCCTGTTTCTGGGTATAAATGGAAAGTGTGGGACATCAGGACCACTATGACCATCACCATTATCACTATTACCATCCAGGATACGGTTTGTGTCAATGATACCCAAAAGGAATATATTAGTGAAAGAAGAAAAATGCTTTGCCACCTGAGAACGATGCCTGATGATGTTGCCTGCTGGCTGCAGGGTGCGGGATGCAGGGCCCAGACCATCATCTGGAGGACCAGATCCCCAGGCCTGCCACTCTTGTCCGGAAGCTGGCATTCAGGGTTACTGGAGCAGTGCTGGAAGCAATGGGCCGGAGGGAGGGGCTTGCCACACAGAAAGCACCTCATTTTATTCTGAAGGAAAAAAATACCCCACTTCTGCTTCAGCTGCCATCTGTGCAATCTCCGCGAGAGCAGCACTCTCTTCAGGGGCCAAGGAAGCTCACACCGGGTCACCGCTCCCTCAGAGCCTTCTTGCAGGTGGCCAAGCCGGGGGTCTTGAGCCAGCCTGCACTGAATCTGGAAAGGCACGTGGTCTGGGGTGCACAGCAGCCAAGATGAGGTGTGTGACTCCTCCTAGCTAACTCCGGGAAATGTGACCCAAAAGACTCTGCGTTTTCATTTCTTGGGTTTCTCATTGAGGAACGTTGTTCCCACTCTAAAAACCCAGACCACAGTGCTGACATGGGGAAAGCCACAACTCCAGGGCCATCTCTGTTCTAATTTGGTGCATAACATCAGGTCTCCTTCCTTCTCTTATGGAGTAAGTTCCATGTTCCTGTGAAGGGTCAAGTGGCCACATCTGTTTCCGGGCCAGGATGTTAACTATAACGTCCAGGAGATAGTTTGCTGGTGTCTGTGGCACCTTAGGTCAATCACAGCAGAAAGGAATACATTAATCAAAGGGAAAAATACTGATTAGAACAGACTGGTGACAAAAATAATGTATTGATTTTAAAAGAGCTTTTTGGTCTTCCCTTAGAAGCGGAGCTCCTCCTTCCCGTTGGGAGGTTTGAACGGACAGCGTTCAGTCCAGCAGCTCTCCGATGTGTCACCTGCCTGGGCCAGTCCTACTCCACTGCAGACCCCCAGCAGGGCTCTTCTGCACCTGCACAAAACTGCCCCGCAGCTGGTCCAGGTGCCACAGGTGTCCACGCCTCTGCGGTCACAAGGTTTTGTCAGCCAGTCTGGGCACACCTAACTGAGTCCTAACAAAGTGGATCAGCCTGGTCTCTGTGAGGAACGCTGTCCCAACAGTTATTCCCAAGCAAAGGGCCCCCACAGCAATGTGTGCCAGCCTGGCTGGCCAGCCCTGCTCACAGCAGAGCAACACCTGTGGGAAGAAAGCATGGTCATCACCCCTCCATCCGTACGGCCTTCCTCTGGGGCAAGCCAGGGAAAGAGGAGGCCCTAATATTCCAGCTTCAGGTCAGAAAGAAGGGGTGACAACCGCACACCGAGGGGCTTCTCTGTTCCCACTGATAACACTGTTTGGCCACGTCTATCATAAGATGCTGTCCTAGAGGGTTAGGGGAAGGGGTGGCAAATACAGTAGAACCTTGGATTGTGAGTAACTTGTTCTGCAAGTGTTCTGCAAGATGAGTAAACACTTCTATAATACATTTTAATTTGATAAACGAGCGATGTCTTGCAAAACGAGTAGTATGTGATGCTGAATGTCACATGATCACAACTGAGTCAATGGTTCCTAAAATTTGCTTTGATATATGAGTGCTTTGGATTACAAGCATGTTTCTGGAATGAATTATGCTCACAAATCAAGGTTTCACGGCACTTACCCAGCTGATTCAGGAAGAGGAGGAAGGGGGAGCCGAGAGCAAGGGACAGTGGGCAGCTTGCAAAATCATGTAGTGTGAAGGCTGCTGGGAGTCTCACCTCAGAAATACCAGTAATCCCACCACTGAGGGTGAATGCTCCGAGGAGGGCCGGTGATAGGCACAAGCCCGCCAGGGGCCTATGAGGGCTCTTTCGGTAGTAGCGGTGGATGAAGCAAAGGCTCTGTGTGATCCGAATGCCCATGTTAAAGCAGTTGGCCAAGATGAAACCCACACTGCCACACCACTGGGTCAGGAGGTAGGATAACACCAGGAATGAAGATGACAGGGCCAGCATTGTGAAATTGTACCTGCAGAGAGGGAGACAAGCAAAGCAGGGCAGTGGGTACGTTCTCCCAAGATAAGATTTGCTCCAAAATAAGTGGCTGTGAACATGAGATCACAGAAAGCACCTCTGAGTTGCCATGACCCAGCTAGTTTTCATAACCATGAATGCTATATGGGTAGCACGGAAATGTCATTGTCCCGCCACCCCCCGGCCCCCCACCGAATAGAAGAGGGAGAAAATGAGTAATTCAAGATGTTTATGGTTTTTAAGGATAAATGATTTGACACTTTGTGGTCAAAACACAAAAATCCTGTTCAGCCCTAGTCTTCAATGTGAGGCACAAAGAATATGACAGGGTAATCATTACACATGAATGCAAACTCTAAGACAGGCACTGTGAGGGGTGCGGGGATACGTTGGTGAGTGACACACGTGGCCCTGCTCTGAGGCTTCGATGCATTTTACAGACAAGGAAACCAGGCACAGAGAGGCTGAATAATCTGCTTAAGGAGTGACCTGACTCTGGGCCCTAAACTTGGGGAAACGCATACTGCTTCCCTTGGGAAATGCAGAAGCCCTGCAACCTTGGCCAGGAGACTTTACCCGCAACAGGTGACCAGCCCCCAAAGTGACATGCACACAGGGAGCAAGGCCTGAACCACTGCAGTGTCCCCATCCTTCCATCTGCTCTTCATGTCACCAGAGCTCTCTGGATTCCTGACTGGATGGACTATGCTGCCCTTCTACTTCTCTGGCTTCAAGCAGCATGAGCTTAGTTACCTTTAGGTCTCAGCAAGGGCAACTGAGTCTTAGCAAAGAGAAAACAGCTGCTGTAGTCTTCCAAAAGGCTTGTACAGTCATGAACAAAATTCTCCAGCATCTGGTTTCTGCCTAGCGAGCAACAGGCATTCTAGGTACATAGTTTTTGAGGGAACCAAACCATTAGGTCCCCCAGCTATGTCTGCTGGGTTAGGAAACCTCATAGGCCACCCAGGTTCAGCACGCAAGGGGTGGTAAGAAAGCCACTATGTCTGCCAAATGCCCAGGTACTAGTCCTCAGGCTGACCAAGCCCAAGGTGCTATGGAGATATACTTTATCAGAGGAGGTGATAAGAATACCACACACACACACACACACACACACACACACACACACACACACACACAATCCTCCAACAAGGGAGGTGTACTTTTCACTGACACCTGATCAATGATCAGAATGGCCAACTTCATAACAAGCCACTGAGGGTGGGGACCATCACAGACCAGTTACGTGACCTCTTTTACAAAAAGAAGTAGAGCTACATAATCTTTTTTTTTCTCCCCCAGAAAATATCTCAGACAGCTCTACTGCACTAATCCTTGGATTTGAGGCAAGAGATTCCAAAACTTTCAAAGTCATTCTCACCCAACTCTAAGTAAAATGTCAATAATGGGTGAAACCAGTAGCTAATTCACGCTAATTCAAGCAGCGACGAATTCAACAGTGTGGCTTCTTTGGTGTGGCCATTTGGGAAGAGCTGATAATGATAAGGGTCCAGTGTTTTTCACTGTCAGAAGATGGCTCTACAGCTGTTGAAATTTCCAGAACTCACAAATCTATAGCCTTAAAGGCATAATCCACTTCAGGAAAATAAGGGAAATTTAAAGATGCAATTAAAATACCACTTTTTAAATCAATTCAAAATTAGCGACAATAATGACTATTCTATAAGGTTTGGTTAATGTAAACAGTAAATTCTTTATGAATGCTGATTTTTTTCATGGCCCCAAGAAAATACTAGGCTTAAAATCATGCTTATCAAGACATAGATGGTCAAGGATGTGGGCTGTGGCAACAACTGCAGTGTCCCCCAGCGGGTGCTGGTTGAGCACATCAAGGCACAGCCATCAATGTGGCCTCCGCAGCCATGAAAAGGATGGTGCCAGTCTCTCATGAGCCAACATGAGAAAATGGCACTCGTCCTTCACTCAACAATTATGGAGACCAGCTCCACGCTGGACATTCAAAGGCCAACAAATCAGTCTTGGGCCTTTGTGTCCCTGTCCCCTGTGCCTGAGAGGCTCTGCCCCATCTTTGTACAGCAGACTCTGCTTGGTCACCCAGCCTCAGCCTGAATGCCACCTCCTCAGAGGGGCCTCCCAATCCAAAAGAGCCTCACTCTCTCTGCATAACCCTGTTGTAGTTATCTGAGCTGCACAGTATTTCCTTATTTATTTACGTGTTTGCTGTCTGCCTCCCCCACTGTCAGCTTCAGGAGAGCAGGGATCTCGTCTGTCTCTTCATTGCTGTATTCCTGGAGCTTAACACGATGCCTATTAGAAAGCAAATGCTCAAAAAGCATTTGTCAAATGAAAAGAAATGGAGAGCTCCTTAACAAAACAGAACAAAAATTCTTCAACAGGGAAGACGAAAAAGCCATCATTCAGAGTCTATATATATTATGAGGTTATTAACAAAAAAACTTGGAATTCAAAGGATTTTCTAATATTCCAGGTCCAACCAAATGCCCTATTTTAATTTAGAAAAACACTGATTAAAGTTTTAAGTAAAAGCCCATGACTTTATCAATACAGTATTTTTTTTTTCAATTCAGAATCTAAAATGCCCAATGTAAATCAATCATAACATTTAACTAAACTGCCCAAACCCACTATAAAAGTCCTTACTGGAGTTGTATGTCTGGTTAAATTCACAGAGATAAAAAAATGCTGTGGTCTGTGATGAGGCCAGGTGCCATGTGCTCACACGGGGGCTGGGGGCTGGGCCGCAGGCCCAGACAGAACCTGGCTGCTGGGTTTAATACACACAGGGGGAACACATTTCACTCTTTGGGGAAGTGCGTTGCTACAGATGAAAACTGCATTAGAAGGCGCTTTGGTTCTGTGTTTTCTCCATGCTGACTACTAATACCATGGAAATAATTTTCCAGATGTTTATATATCATCAAAATCGCATTACAGCGAACTTAGAAAGTTGTTTCTTTTGGTTCATTGCAATGTAAGAGGAAAGAAAGCAGCCAGCCACTGTCTATATTCCCTCATGATTTGATTGTAAGATACATTTTACCATATTAAGCAGGCTTAGTGCTGACTCTCCCCCTTAACACTAATGCTGAAATTATTACAACAAAATTCCCTCCAAAGAGATAGATTCCTTGTCCAGAGCTCTTTGTACTGTGGCCCAGTGCCTCATTTAGTATATTTTACATTATGTCTAAAAATTATTTCACGTTTGAAACACCTTTCAAATAAAAACACAGTATTTCAAAATTAAGCTTAAATAGACCTTTTCATCCATGGGGAAAAAAAGGGTGGGGAGGATGACTCCCAGTAGTTTTATAGTTACACATTTAACTATCTGAAGTAAAAACCCTATCTGGCCAGTATCTGAGAACTGCAGGTTGTGACTTAAAAGTAGGCTGAGAAATCAGTTTACTGGGTCATGACATGGCAGTTTGAAAAATGCAATCTAACAGAATTAAGAATCATCAGTGTGTCTGCACATAACTGGGGTATTTGCTGCTTCGTGAGGGCTTCACTCAGTCATGTCCACCTAATATGTACAGGGTCACAGTGCTCAATGTAGTTTTTACCGATAAACTGGTCTGGGCCAGTGGTTCCTCAGACCGTAGCTGTCCATCAGACATCTCCTAGAGCTATGTGATGAAAGATTCCTTGGCCCCAGCCCCTTACAGGCTAATTCAGTTGGTCTAGGAGGGGCTGGAACTCCTAGGGGACTCTGGTGGGTCTGGGCTAAGATGCTGCTCTGGGCTCCAGTTCTCGACTGTGCGGTAGCAAAGTCACCAAGCTTCCTTGTGAAACAGCCCCAGGCTGGAAGCATAAAGAGGCTGCTCTGAATGATAGGAAGGTTCTCCAACTCTCAGAGTTACCCTTTCTTGTCCCACCTCCACCACTGGGCCTGAGGGCTATTGATGGCACTCAAGGCCTTAGAAAGGCAGTACAAGACCTCCCACAAGGGATCCAGGCCTCAGGGGACAAGAGGATCACCAGGACCACTTGCCTCATTATCTGCACCCGTCCCTCTACGGTCTTTCCCTTTTCCTCCTCTCCTTTTCCCCTATCAGTTTTACCCCTCTCCTCAACCTCATCCTGTAGTGATGCCTTAAGATACTGCCATGCTACTTCTGGCATTTGGGATGCAAGAGATGAATGATGCTGGGTGAGGGTCAGAAGCTCTAAGCTAGGAGGTGGTGTCAGAATCACTGAGGAGCTTTTAAAAAACACGTATGTCGGGAGGCGGCTGGTTTCGCAAGCGTGCTAGGAGAGTGGTGGAAGAAGGGCCGATAGGAATCTGCACATCGAACAAGCTCCAGGGGGCATTCTGACTGACGGCCAGTGCTAAGAACCAGTCTGAGGCACCAGAGCAGAGGTCCTGATCTGGGGTCAATGGATGGGAAAAAATTGTGGCAAACATATATGCGCACTTGGGCCTTTCTCTGAGGAAAGATGTCACAGATCCCTGAGTTTCTCCAAGGCCTACAAATCAGAGTCTCAGGTGGAGGACTCTGCATCTTGCAGAAGCTCTGTGGTAACCCACAGGGGCACTGGGCAAGGCGGTGGAGGAGTGGAGCTGGTCCTGTGCCTGTCTCTGCAAACCTGGACTAACACAGCCCCATGGGGCCCGGATTTCTTCCTCCTCCAAAGGGAGGCGAAGGGGGGTTGCTGCCCCGGCCGTGCGTGGGGAAGACTAACCGGATGGTGCGTGCACAGCCACCGGAGAGCCCGGGCATGGCGCTAGTGCTGTAGGTGCTGCCTCTGCGAGAGCTTTCCGTGAATCCACGCTCAGGACGAAAAGAGAGAAGACTGGCAACTCAGCGGAAGGCCATGATTAAAGGCGGGTCTTTCAGGTTACCTACCTGTCGACCTCCTCTTTGCTCATGGCAGCAAATGTGAAACACTCGGTCACTCCGTTGATGGCAAGCAGGAGGACGTAAAGACAGTAGGAACGCAGCAAAACAGGACCTATGAGGAAACAACCCACAGAGACTCCAGAGCCCAAACAGAAGGCCCACACGTACCAGAACTGGCTCAGGAGCCCTGCTGGTATCGTCAATGGGCAGACACGTGCTCAAGCCTATGGTCTTAACTATCTGGAAGGCCTCCCAGTATTCCATGGCACCGATTAAAACAAACGGCTAAAAACAAAAGGGCAATTGAGATTAAGCCTACAAATCTCTCTTAACAACTAAATTCTCATCTGGCCAGGAAGCAAGTCTTCTCACTTTGTAAATCTGCACGAAGAGGTCTGCTGGTTTGAGCACTCAAGGCCACTAGTGGCCCTGCATGTATGAGAACCTCGGCTGAACAGATCCTGGACAAAAGACACTGGGGAGAAGCCCAGGGCTCAGGAGCGGCAGAAAACTAGAGACAGAACCCCTCCGCAAATCTGCAGGGAGAATCAGAGTAACCATCATGTTATTTTCTTCTAAAACATAGTGATGTAGTTCTATAGCTAACTAACAAGCTTCACAAAAATCTGCTAACAAAAGAGTGGGAGCCTTAAAAATGGAATTGATCCCCTCTTTTAGGAGGGCCATTACCAAGAGGCAGCCAAGCAACTTTTTTTAATATTCCTGTTTATTTTTGAGAGAGCACGCATGAGCAGGGGAGGGGCAGAGAGAAAGAGGGGACACAGAATCTGAAGAGGTTCCAGGCTCTGAGCTGGCAGCACAGAGCAACGTGGGGCTCGAACCCACCAGCCATGAGATTATGACCTGAGCCAAAGTCAGATGCTCAACGGACTGAGCCACCCAGGCGCCCCACAGCCAAGCAACTTCTAATAAAACCTATGACCCAGCAATTCCACCCATAAATATCCATCCAACAAAAATAAATGTATGTGTTCACAAAACCCCTTGTACAAAAATGTCCATAGCGGTTTTACTCATAATAGCCCAAACTGATCATCAACAAGAGAAAGAATAAACTGTGGGCCAGCCATATAAAGGAATACTTCTCAGAGAAGTGATCAAAGAGAAAAAAACTACTGATCCGTGTCAAAACATGGATGAATCCCAAAAACTGTATATTGAGGGAAAAAAAACAAACATTAAAGTGTCCATACTTTATTATTTCATTTGCTTTTTTAAAAAACTTATTTATTTTTTAAATGTTTATTTATTTATTTTTGAGGGGGAGAGAGAGTGAGTAGAGGGGGCAGAAAGAGAAGGGGACAGAAGAACCAATGTGGGCTCTGTGCTGACAGCAGAGAGCCCGATGCGGGGCTCAAACTACGAACCAAGAGATCGTGATCTGAGCTGACATTGGACGCTTAACCGACTGAGCCACGCAGGTGCCCCGTGTGATTTCATTTATATGAAGTCCCTTTTAAAAGCAACACTGGGGCGCCTGGGTGGCTCAGCTGATTGAGCTTCTGACCAGCTCAGGTCATGATCTCACGGTTCGTGGGTTCAAGCCTCGCACTGGGTTCTGTGCTGACAGCAAGAGCCTGCGTCAGATTCCATCTCCCTCTCTCTCTGCCCCTCCCCTGCTTTCTCTCTCTCAAAAATAAACATTAAAAAAAAAAAAAGCAATACTAATCTGTAGTGATAGAAATCAGAACAGTGGTTGCCTCTGAGGTAGAGGGAGGCAGATGACTGGAAAGGGTCCTGAGAGAACTCTCTGGGGTGATGAAAGTATTGAACCTATCAACCAGGATGTTGGTTACATGGGTGTATATATTTGTCAAAACTCATCAAATTGTACTCTTAAGAGTACAGGATCTTACTTTTTTTTTTTTTTATTTTTTTTCAACGTTTTTTATTTATTTTTGGGACAGAGAGAGACAGAGCATGAACGGGGGAGGGGCAGAGAGAGAGGGAGACACAGAATCGGAAACAGGCTCCAGGCTCCGAGCCATCAGCCCAGAGCCTGATGCGGGGCTCAAACTCACGGACCGTGAGATCGTGACCTGGCTGAGGTCGGACGCTTAACCGACTGCGCCACCCAGGCGCCCCCAGAATCTTACTTTATGTAAATTAGGCCTCAATAACTTAGTCACTAAAAGAAATCCAGTGTTCATATTTTCTGGCAAAGGAAAGGCATTCAGATCCACAGCACGAGTCCAAAGAGTCAGGAGCAGAGCAAGGAGATGAGGGAAGGAAAGCCAGCAGGGGCCAAGGTTGGGGATATACTACCAGAAGCCACCATTGGTGTTAGAGAGAGAGCTGAAAGTTCGGTCAATGTGAGAGGCAGCTACCATGAGGAGAAAAATGCTAGATGACCCTGCTAGGACAGTGGCACTGATGGAACCCTGGGCCAGGCAAGAAATAACAACAGTCCTGATTCACCAAACAGCACATTTTTTTCAGAGACTGAGAATCCAGACTATTCTTAAGACTCTTCTATTTCTGAAGAGGATACCAAAGGAATATCTTTTTGAATCTAAAATTGTTATTTTTTTAACGGTGTTGTATTAGTTTCAGGTGTACAATATAGTGATTCAAAAATTCTACACATTATTCAGTGCTCATCATGTTGAATCTAAAATTATTAATGACGGACATAAAACATTAGAAACAGAATTTATTACCTTAGAAATCAACTAACACTGACCCTTGTAACTGATAAATCTATGATCAATGCTGAAAACTGGGACCAGCCTCTTACTTGAGCAAAAGGGCTACACAATCACAGCAGTCTGTTTCTGTACCTTCTATGACTAATTACTCTACCAGGTGAACACTGTATTGATGGGACATCATGAGTGATTTCATTACAATACAAGCTGTTTCTTGGTGATTACCTTTTTTAAGGAGGCCCTGCTACTGTGAAATAGTCAAATCCCCAATCTCTGCACACTGACTCATACTAATGGCTTCCTAATGAGGCCTCCCTGCCTGTCTGATGGAATCCCAGGGTCTCACAGCACAAGCTGCAGGGAGCTGCAAACCACCTCATTGGGTTCACAGCAGGTGTTTCTCCAAACTTAATGACCTTGGCTCTTGTGTAGAAACTTGGCCCCTCCTCCGTAATACCCTAAGTTTGGGACCATTATAGTGGAGACCAAAACATGCCAGGGAACTTGTAAAATGGCATCTGACAAAGCCCTTTACACTGAGATGGGGCAGCAGAAAGAAGACTTCAGGGTTCTTGTCTAGTGCCCTGAGGAACTGAAAACATCTTTACCCAACCCAAGATGAAACACTGCAAGTGGACTGCCAGCCTGTGGCCCAGCACATTTTGAAATTGGTGAAGTCCCCAGGGCCTAGCAAGTGCTGTGAGGTGCTCAGTGGCCTGGGCACTGATGTTTCAAAGTTAGACACGTTCGATAATTGTGTCCTTCAAAGACCAAGAGTCACTGGATTAAATATACCATTTTACTTGCCGAGATCAATTTTATTCTCTGCAAATGGCTCTGAGTTATCTTCAGAGGCTCTCATGCATCAGGCCGTGAGATTTATGTGGCATTTACTACCTTCAGATGTGTTTAGTATCAAGCGGAGACTCATTAGAGCCTGCTCTCTGCCTTCCTCCCTCATCCAAGAGGGTGCACAGGGAAGTGCCCCGCAAGACACATCTTAAGCCTGGGAGGAGAGCCAAAGATTCGTAACGACTTCTCCAAGTGAATTTGGGGGACTGGCTGATATGGTGCCAAACCCCCCTAATGGTACCCAGATGTTTCTGACCTTGTATGAGGGGAACGGCCTCAGAATCCCAGCCACTGACAATGTCCCCTATACTGACAAGTATCAACCCGTATGCATGCAAGTTTTTGAATTTCATAAGACTTTTCTATTTCTGATTAGAAATTAGAATCAATCTGACAAAACTCTTGCGCATACCTGATCCAGAGCTAAGCATGACTCCTCCATAGATATCCAAAGCCAGCTGAGAATAGGCAAAGCCAAAAATGGTGATGGTCAGGCCGGCCAGCAGGGCCAGCTTGAGCAGGGACTCCAACACAGTGGCGGCCACAGCCATGTCCTCCTGGGACAGGGGGAGAGGGAAGGAAGTTGGATGAATCATGAGCTAAAGAAAAACTTCACATCTGGCCTTATCTCTCTTTGCTGTCTTACAGATCACTCGTTCACCTGCTGAGAGGCGTCACTGCTTTTCTGCAGCCTATGCTGTTTCCATGTCAATTAGCACGAAGGAAATGAAGGGAAAAAAGACAATCTGTGCCTTCTTAGGTAGTTCAGGGGAGGTCTGGTTTTTAACTCATTCAGGATAAGTTATTTCAAAGGTTGCTTAGGAAACATTAGCTTTCCTCTCTGATATTTATTCTTTTTTTTTTTTAACGTTTATTTATTTTTGAGAGAAAGAGAGGGAGAGACAGAGTGTGAGCTGTGAAGGGGCAGAGAGAGAGGGAGACACAGCACCCGAAGCAGGCTCCAGGCTGTCTGCACAGAGCCCGACGCAGGGCTCGAACCCACGAACTGTGAGATCATGACCTGAGCCGAAGTCTGGCACTTAACCAACTGAGCCACCCAGGCGCCCCTGGTATTTATTCTTAAATGGACAGCAAGTTTTTACATTGCTAGCCGGCTAGCTTTGTCAGTGTGCTTCTCCTGACAAACGTCTCCAAATTCTGACGTTCCTGTCAAAGTATGCTTAGGAAAATATTCCTAAATCGACTGAGAACCAGTCGACTGTGCATAAACTGTATTTTTCAAAATGTCTTCTAAGACATGTAAGAGGGTGACTTAGCTTCCTTTTAATTCTAAGAGAAGTCAGACATTTTCGGTGGTTTTAGAAAAAGGGAAGTTTCGACAACCAAATATGCCTGGATTAAAATCTCTTCTGTTATTTATCAATAGGAGTATATAGAAGAGTGTAGCTCTGGGCACTTCACGGTCTTTAAGAAGCTTATTAAGCAACTGGTGTGGTGAGTGACACCAAACGACCACATCCTTTTCTCCCCATGCCCTACACGAGACTTGTCCCAGACTCTGCATCCTTCGGCTCGCCTGTGGTTCTTGAGAATGTGAGGATGGAGGAGGCAACCTCAATTCTTCCAGCTATGCCTAGACCAGGGGAGGGGTATGCGCCGCACTGGGGATGGCTGCAGAGAGTTCTGAGAAGGCTGGATCAAGAGTGAGCTTACAAAGAAGGACTAAGAATGAGAAGGGAGGGGCCAGCCAGGGCAAAGGGAGAAGGCTTCAAAAGAAGTGAGCTCAGAGTCCTACCATCATTTGGAAGGTGATGGAAGAATGAAATCTAGAAGGAAATTTCAGATCAAACAGAAGGGAAACTGGCTGCTGCACATTTCAGTCTGTTTACCCTGAAATTGGAGAATTCACCAGAGAGACAGTGACCTAAGAACCAAGACTACCTGCTTTTGAAGTGTGGCGTCCTTTCCTCTCTCTAGCACCTTGGCGAAAAATATGTAAAAACTCTCCTCTATTGGCTGGAAAATTAATCTGGCCACAAGGGAGCCAAGATTATTCACTATATCGTATACACCTACAAGAAAAAAAAGGAAGAAACAATAATCCTACTAGTTTTCTGATTTGAGTTTTCATGGCACCATTAACATTCTTTCTAATTTAATTAAAAAAAAATTTTTTTAATGTTTTATTTATTCTTGAGAGAGAGAGAGACAAAGCATGAGTGAAGGAGGGGCAGAGCCAGAGAGGGACACAGAATCCGAAGCAGACTCCAGGCTCTGATCTGTCAGCACAGAGCCCAACGTGGGGCTTGAACTCACGAGCCCTGATATCATGACCTGAGCCAAAGTCAGACGCTCAACCGACTGAGCCACCCAGGTGCCCCACTAATTTAATTTTTTTAATGGAACTTTTTTGAGGTAATTATAGATTCACAGGTAGTTTTAAGAAATCACAGATCCATTACCCAGTTTCATGAATAGTAACATTTTGTGAGAGCAGGGCACAGTATTGCAGCTGGGATACTGACACTGACACAGTCAAGACAGAACATTTCCAGCACCAGCACTTTTTTTTTATAGAAATCATTAATGCCAAGTTGATTTAAAAATTTTTTTCTTTCCACTACTTCAGGATTATAGTCAAAAATAAATACAAAGAAAGTATTGAGACTTATCTAGCCGCACGATCACAGGGCAACTCTGTGACTGTGATGTCAAGCTCCCTTTTCTGTCAGTGCCCCCAAACCCCAGATGGACACCAGAGCTCTGCAGGAACCAGGGGATCTCAACAGAGAACCTGCCACCCGAGCCACAAGAGAGGGGGTGGTCAGTACACTCTATATATTTACAGAGACCAACAATTTTCAATCTTTAGGAATCATTTTTTTCCAATATTCATCTTTTATAATCATCGGGTATTTTTCATTAAATGTATCAAACCGCAGAGAAAACTATTACTAATTATCTACTAACGGTGTTCACTACAGAATTTCATCTTACCCTGATCGCCAAAATTTAACACGTTCAAAAATGTCATTACATATCGCTCGCCTACAAATAGAAAACCAAAATAATTAGCATTTCAAGGGCACATTATTTTCTTGTTTCCTTTTCTCTTATCGACTATCAACTTTCCAGCTGGCAAATACTCTCAAAGGAGAAAAATTATATAGTCAGTTAAAGACATGTTCTTAATATTGATTTCAAACAAGATTCTATCCATAATCTCAAAATAGTAATAACGGCAAATGATGGGGGATTTATTGACAGCAAATCTCCAAACCAGTTAAATTGAAAACAAAAACAAAATCAATAAGACCAGTCTAATAACTTAAAAAAAGGGAGGAAGGTAAGATTACTATATGTTAATCATAAAAATGACTGTTCCAAATTTTAAGTGTAGGTTCTGTGAAATGAGAGGTCCATGATTATGTGCACAGGCTCATCAGGTTTCCTCCTTGTGTGGCCCACTGTGGATGGATGGAGCTCTGAGCAGTACCCACAGCCGTAAAGGGCAAATTCTCACTTCCTAGCAACTTGCTCAAAAAGGAAAGCGATATTCAGAGACTAGAAGCAGTGAGGATCTTCTCTCAAGTCTCCCTTTGGTCCTCCCTGCACCCTCTCGGACTCAGCCCACATGACCACAGGACATCACTAGCTCCTATCTGTGTCTCTGCACTGCCTTGATCCATCCTCATTGCTAACAGTCCCAGCTTCTGCAAATACAGATCTTACGGTGACCCCTGCTTTCACACCTTTAAATGGCTCTTGATGTTTACAAAAAGTCCAGGCTCCGTAATTCTGCACCTGAGGCCTTTTGTAAATCGACCCCAGGCTATCTTGTCAGCTTTCCTTCACCAACCTCATCCCCACCTACCATCACATGGTCATCCTCTGCTTTGCCCCATCAGGCTTTAGCCCCTCCAGCTGCTCTGCTTCAGGCTGGGCCCCTCCTGCTCCCAGCCTCGACTCTAAGCATGCTGGCCACCTAGACTGGCTTTTCCACAGGAACTTCTATGTGTTCTGGTACAAGCGGCTTCTCCTTCCCAACTCTGTAAGCTCCCTGGGGGAAGGAACCACATCTCCCTCACACTGCTGTCCCTCGTTTCCTAGCAGAGCTCCAGGAAATGCGAGGGCACTCGAAAGAGCTAATGTTTCCAAGTATAGCTCTCGCAGCCCTGGTTCAAAGCTAACCACACAACTGTTTGTGTCTCTGGTGAGAGAATGAGCTCCTCGAGGCTGTGGCCTGTAACTCATTCATCTGTGTATTCTCAGCACCTGGCACACAGTGTTCAGGAAATGTGGGGGCAGAAGTTAACAGCACCTATATTTTTGCTATTACAATGAATGATTTCAACTGTTTTTTAGAGTTGTAGTTTGTAGATAAAAAGAACCTTGTGGGGGTGGTCCTTGTCTAGCCACTTCCTCATTTCACAGCCATGGAGATGAAAGCCCTGAGAGGTTCCTAACAGCCCTGTGCAGTCAGGCCAGGGTGGCCCCACCGTGGAAGCCATCGGTACCACATTCAGGCCTGGCTAACTCACACCTGCTGCCACAAACCTAGCCACTCCAATCTAGACAATCAGGCCATTGCTTGACTGGATCCACTTCTTAACTCATTTCAACTGCTCTTAAAACTCCGGGAGGAAAACAAAGTGCATAAAAGCAAATGCCCTTTCCAAACTCCCTCCACTGATTTTCCCATTCTAACAACGTGAACTATCACAATATACAATTTCACTACAGATACCTCTATCAATAAATATTTGTTGAACACTGATCACAAGCAGTCCCAGCAGGGTTCTGGGGAGATGGTGGTAAACAGCACATCCTGCTCCCAAGCAACATAGAGGTAAGGCACCTTCACTCAGCTCTCCAAAGGCTTCTGACCTTACTTTCCCCAGAAGTCCTATGAGCGAGTTTCACTTTTGTAATGGCAATGTTACAGACTCAGGCTAGAAATAAGCACTGTCAAAGCTCAAGAGCCCTCAGAGCCCTCCTGGTTCTATGCCTTAACTCACAGACGGGGAAAGTGGCTCAGGGGAGTTACTTCCCTTTGGAACCATAATTAATGAAAAATAAAGACAGGGGAAAAAAGGAAAATAACGAGATAATAATAATGATGGTTATATTAGAATGCTAGAATTATAGGGAACTTTCTATTTTCTAAAATTTTTGTAATGAATTATATTATTTTTATAATTAAAATATAATTTTTTGAAAAGATTTAAAAACATGTTCAGTAACAAATATGTAGGTGTATGACATACGACATTTATGTGGAGAGAAGCCCTGCCTTTACCGGCTTCCAGCTGCCTCCAGCCTCACTCTCTGAACTACAGCTGGGCATAAATAAACCAATACACACATGGAGAAAGACTAGCTGTATGTGCAGCTCTGTGCCAACCCTCTGCCTGCATTGCTCTGTCACTGTTAAACTGGAAAGCTTTAAGAAACTGGAAGCCTGGCCACACTATCACATAAGGGTGACTCTGACTGCTTAAAAAAATAAAATGATGAAAACTCGGTTCTTAAAAAAAAAAAGTTCAAAAAAAGAAATGTCTAAAAAGTTAGGACAGGATAATGAGATTACGGATAATTTTATTTTCCAAGTTTTCTGTAATTCATAAAGAACTTGCATAATACATTTCTTTAAATGATAAAATATGGGGTTTAGGAATTAGATGTGGATTCAAATTAAATCGTTCCTTATTACTGTAGGACCCTGTAGAAATTAGACAATGGCACTGACCCTCGGTATGTAAATGGTCAGTGTCCTCCTTATTTAAAAAGCTCCGATTTCTGAGGTTCCTCAGGTCAGGGAGCTCTATAAAGCAAATGGTCCAGGTCTAGGTAATCAGCAGTTCTGTGAAATTCCCTCACTTATATATACTATGGTATCCAGACTGCTCAGGGTGACCTTTCACTTACCTTCTGTCAAAATCTGCTTCAAGAAAGACTGTTTGAAAAAACTCCAAGTCAGTTTAGCCTCTTTCCAATTTACAAAAGCCTAGAAGAGAAAACAAAACAAAAACAAAATCTCCCAGGCATTGCAAGTCGAAGGGTACAATAATGCTACACGAGAGGGAAACTCATTTTGGTGCCTAAATCCCAATTTGGAGAGTGTCCATTAATTTTTCATTTAATGCTAAGCACACAGAAGGCAACCAACAAATCCTGGCAAATCCTAGCAAAGAGTTTCCATTGCTAAACATGAAGACAAAGTCCTAGGTGGGAAGAGCCTCTCTGTAAAGGGCCTACAAAGATTCATTCACTGAGACCCCTAAGGAACTGTGCTATCCCCTTGTTGCACAGATGGTAAGCTGACTGTATCTAACACACAGCTCACAGTCGTTTATCTCCTTGAGATAGGTCTGAAGGATTCCAAGCTGCAGAACAAATTCTGCTCCACACACCCCACATCTTAATGCTGTATTTTGCCATCCAGGGTCCCTTTATACAAAGTATATGAGCTTTGCTTGTGTATTTCAAAAGGGAGCCGGGCTTCCCAAGTCAGTCAAACCACTCAAAACGGTTATGATACAGGGGAGGAAAAAACCAACCCAAAACTTTTGATATGGCTCTTCCAAAACTCCAGGGAGACACCAAACCGCCCATTTCCTAAGGATAGGAAGGTAAGGAGAAAGTAAATGCTTAGGAAGGGCAGAGTTCAACCTGTAAGAGACAGGCGGTCTCAAGGCCAGACTGCTGACCACAAACTGGAAGAGTGGAGCAGCTAGCTGGATGTCACTTTTGTCTTTCTATCTCCCCCAGTTCCCTGTGGAGGCCCCTCCTCTCTAATGTAGGCATCCTGAGATCCCATAATGTTCAGTCTAGGTGTTAGGTTCTTAATCTCAGGGTACCTGCATTTTGAAAAATTCTTACTAACTCAAAGTGATCACTTTGAAAGGGAGGATTTCAGGGGGGCTCTTTGGGAGGAAAGGGGTGAATCACAAAGGCCAAGTCCATTCCACCTCTCCAAAAGATCAGTTACAGCTATGGAAGTTGGCCCAAGGGCAGATGTGGAACCTGTCCCAATCACATGAACCCCTGATCTTGTCCCCAAAACCATCTGTGTAGAGCACGGCTGTCCAGTGGAAATATAATGCAGGCTATATATATCATTTAAAATTTTACAACAGCCACAGTGAACAGTAAAAGGGAAATAAAATTATTTTAATATATTTTACTTAGCCCAAAATATTATCATTTCAACATGTAAAAAAATATTAGAGGCATTTCATATTATCTTTTTCATACTAAGTCTTCGAAATCCAGTGCTTATGGTGTGCTTACAGCCCGTCTCGATGTCCAGGGTAGCTGGTGGCTACCATTCAGGACAGAGGAAGTCTAGAGCATCCCTTAAAAACGAAGGTCATTTTCAGGCTTCAAATATCTTCACTCCTTGTTTTCAGAGCGTTTCTTCTAGACACTGTGAGGACAAGCCTGAATCTCCCAAGCCACGCTGTCCTCAGAGCATCACTGGACCTGGAGCAGATGCCATGGGGAGCACTAACCCAGGAGTAAATCTTCCCCAGTGTCAAGGAAATTGGGCATCTCCTTTCCCGAGAGCAAAGAGCGCCAGAGTACCTACCACCACTAGGGGGCACTGTGAGCCACATCATCGCCAGCACCGATCCCTCCCTTAGCTCCAGGGGAGCCGTGGGCAGCTCGCCTGCACCCCAATGCCAAGTGGTCCTTTTTGGCTGGGTGGGGGGTGGGGGGTGCTGCACAGCAGTGCCTGAGCTCTTTTCAAAGGAAATGAACAGTTACAGCTGCCCATGGGGCTTTTGTGAAGCCTACTTGCCAGGAGGTTGTAAATGGGGTTGGGAAGATGACTGAACTCTAAAAGATTGTTTACCAGGGGCACCTGGGGTGGCTCAGTTGGTTAAGTGTCCAACTTCTGCTCAGGTCATGATCTCACAGTTCCTGGGTTCAAACCCCACATCGGGCTGCTGACAGGCATCAGAGGCCGGGACGCATGCTTCGAATTTGCCATTAGTGTGTCTCTCTCTCTGCTCTCCTACTCATGCTCTGTCTCTCGCTCTCTCTCTCTCAAAAATAAACATTAAAAAAAAAAAAAGATTGTTTACCAGAGTGAAATCTTGACAGTGTATTTGACCTGAAAGCTCACACGTGAGCATTCCATTCTCCTAATGCCTTCAATTTATTTTTCAACGTTTTTTTTTTTTTTTTTTTTTTTTTGGGACAGAGAGAAACAGAGCATGAAGGGGGAGCAGAGAGAGGGAAATTCGGAAATCAGTGCTCCAAGCTCCACCATCGCAGGACAACGCGGATGATTCGAGACTCAGGGACGATGAGATTGTGACCTAGCTGTCAGAATAACAATACCTGCCTCTTTTCTTCAAATAATGACCTCATCGGTAAATGGACCCACAGTTTAGAAGGAATGGTCACGCTGCTTACTATCTCCAAAATGCTCATTCAGGACATAGAGGCAGGAAGTCTGATCAAAGACTGGATTTCTTCTCAGTGGTCTCTGCTGAGAAGAAGAAGTGGGAGAAAAGAAGCAGCACATTCTTTGGGCTTTTACTATTTTGTTTAGGATGGATATGTCACTTGGCAGGAGGTCAAAGAGGCCTATTTCACAAGAGCTAGGTTGGTACTGCTTAGCTGGTCTACGTGGCTGTGCATTTCTCTGGAATCCCCTGACCAACAAGCCATTCCATTGCCTCCTGTACTGATGGAGAAATAGAGGCGTGGATGGCAAAAGGTAATGGGCAGAACCACAGGGGAATGTCTGCAATCTGAACTTGGGGGCTCACAATGCTTTAATATGAGTCACTCTTCCCCTTTCCAAATTCTCCTGCCTTAGGACAGTCCAGAAGCCACGTGCCTCCCACACTGACAACAGTACCAGGGAGTCTGCGGCCACGGTCTAGTCTCCATATCACCTCCACATCCCACACAGTACCCCTTCCTCTCCCTCTTGCTCTGGGCCTATGGCCTCTGCCCCAGCTGTGTTCACGCTCACATGTCCTCTGACTGTCCTCATCACTTCTCATCTGGACTGCCTCCTCATGAGCTTCTTCACTTCCAGCCTCTTTTCTAGCTCATCCTGTTGGGAGGGTTCAGGCTTTGGAGTCAAGCTCACAGACTGAGGCTTAAACTGCAGCTCCCAACTTCTTAGTGCTAAGCCTCAGTTTTCTCATATGCAAAATGGGATAAGGAGTCTATCTCCTGGTATGAGGACTGAATGAGAGAAAACAAGACACTTGATAAATCTGAAACAGATGGTAAGTGCCTCGACACAGGCACCTGGATCACAGCTCTGTTCACAAACCTTTCATTAGGCTCCGCTGCCCCTGAATCAAGCCCACGCTCCACAGCACCAAGGCCACCTCTACCTGGCCTTAGCCCAGCAGGCCATAAACTCCTTCCACCTTGTTTCCTCTCCCCTCCCCCACTGTTCAGCCAACCTAAGTACCCCAGTCATCTCTGCAATCCCAGTGCCAACACAGTGATGGGCAGATAATGGGGCCCAAGCAAACGTCTTCTTCCCACAGCCACAAGTGAGCATTTCTACCACACATGCCCATTCACCTCTGTCCACCCATGTGTCAAGGCCCAGTTCAAAAGTAGCTTCCTCCAAGAAGCCTTCTTCAATGCTGCTGCATGAATTCATCAGTCCCTTCCTTGTGCTTCTATTTTGTCAACACTACACACACACACACTGTCTTGCAATGGTTAGTTGAATACACATCTTACCTCCCCATCACAATGCAAGTTCTGAGGGCAGGGACCCCACTCAGGGCACCTGGTACAGTGCTTAACACAGAATACTGCTTATGACATGCTTGCTGTGTTAAATGCCTCAGCTTTACTTAAATATTAGCAGATCTCTCATATGAAATCACTCAGAAGTGTCAAAAAATAGAAAAGATCTAAAAGCAGCCATTATTTGAAGTATCATTTATTTTAAGGCTAAGTAAGTCTCTTTTGCAGAAGATGGAATTCTACAAGTACAGGAAATAAATCTCCCATTTTGGTCAAATTGATTTTGAATAGAATTGACCAGCTCTCTATGTGGGAACCCCCAGTGCAGAAAACTGCTCCCAAGGGTCAAGGTAGGTACATGCTGCTGGTGGTAAAGCCATCCACTGCATTCAGATGCAGCTCATTTCTTTTCTCTTAAAAACAAAAAAAAACAACAACAAAACAACAACAACAACAACAAAAACAACTTGAATAATGAATTGTTCCACCTAGAACTTCCCAATTGTTAAGTCAACAAATAACTACTTTGGGCAATAAGCCAATTTCTTCTGGAAGACTACACAGCAGGGAGATTAAAAACACAGACTAAGATTAGTTCACAGATACAAGTTAGAGAGAAGTGAGTCCAAATTCAGATGTGGGATTTTGGTTTGGTCAGTTAACTACTCTGAACCTCTGTTTTCTCATCTGTGAAATGGAGACAATATCTCATAAGGTTATTACTATGAGGTTTAAGCACATGAGTCCATGTAAAGTGCTTAGCAGAGTGCCACTCACAGAGTAAGCATGCAGTCAGTGGCAGTTATTATAAACGGTTCTTTGTTGAAGTTCAAATACTTTCACAATTCCTTAAGTCTTCAAAGGGGCCTCACAGGTTGTGCAGACTAATTATCTCACCTTAAAAATAAGGCCCCTTTGGGGAGCCTGGGTGGCTCAGTCAGCTGAGTGTCAGACTTCGGCTCAGGTCATGATCTCATGATTCGTGGGTTCGAGCCCTACATTGGGCTCTGTGCTGACAGCTCAGAGCCTGGAGCCTGCTTAGGATTCTGTGTCTCCCTCTCTCTCTCTGCCCCTCCCCCACTCATGCTCACTCATGCGCTCTCTCTCCCTCTCTCTCTCTCAAAAATAAATAAATCATTAAAAAAAGAAAATAAGGACCCTGAGGTCTGGAGAGAGTGATGCAGGCTTCATATCAGCACTTACTGCCTCCCAAAAGCACAGGAAGCTCCCTGAGGCCCAGCAATCACCTTACGTATCTGTATCCCAGACAGCACCTGGCAGAGGGCTGTGCTCTGACTGTCAGCAGGAATGGCCCACTGTGTGTAACAGGTACACATACCTTCTCATGGTCAAGACTTCTGTCCCAGAAATATGAGCCTGGGTGCCTTCAGGACGGAGTGCCAGATCAAACCACTGGGTTCCTGCCCCGATGCCACCAGTGGTTGCTTTGCTAGGATGTGCCGGTGGAGCTATCCCTACTGAGAGCAGCAGCGGCATGGGGGGCGGGGGCATGGTATCAGCTGTCACTTATGGACACCCACCTGTGCCAGCCATGGTGTTAAGTATTCAGATGCCCCATCTCATCCTGTTCCTACAAGCACCTTAGGAGAAAGGTACTTTTAGTATCCCCATTTGACAGACAAGTAAACTGCAGCTCAGAGTTGTATGCCCACCACAGAATTAAATACACACTGAGGCTCTTTTCATTACCCTCTCCTTGCCTGTGTTAATAGTCCAAATGCTCTTTTCCAAAATACTGCCAGACCCAGGGGCTGGCCCGGTATGAAAAGCTGCTCTGTGGGCAGGTGGCAGAAGCTCTACGCAGGAGAAGCGATCCCAAGTCCTTATCCTCCAAGTCTGCAGATGAGGCAGCATGGTATCTCAAAACTGCCATGCTGATTTAGGCTAAAGGTGAGATCTGTGTGATCGGAATGGAGAACGCTTATCTAACAAATGAGAACATATCTGGCTTCGTTACATAACATCTGGTCTTTCTTGAAAAGCTGTCTAACAGGATTCCATAAGTTCTGAGACTTATATCTCAAATACTTTCCTACTTTCTCAAGTAATCACAAAAAAGGAATAAGGAGAAGTCCAGCTGAAGCCTCACCTCCACTACGTGCACCACATGTGGGCGGCAAACAAGTATGGGAAAAGGGAAAGTGAGTCGGCCCAGTTCACAAAGCATCTGAGCAGAGGCAACATGGCATAACATCACGTGTACCACGCTGGGGCCACAGGCAGCAGTGACCCCACCAGAGTCAGGAAATAAAAGTCAAATGGACCGAGAGCTGGAGAGTTCAGAAGAAAAAGGTTATTCCTCACTCCTACACATCAGCAGCTAGAATCCTTAGTGGTCTACGTGGGAAAGTGGGTCACCGGAGAGACTGGCCTGACACTAGGTAATGGAGCTCTGGAGGGGTCACCCTGCTTTGTCAGCAGGCTGGACCATCTGCGCTGGAAGGCAGTCCTGAGAAAAACCAAGACACAGCAAAACAGAGAGTGGCCCGCGGTGGTTACAGCCTGTGCTCTGTGGCGATTCAAGCCACTCCAGGCCCCTGCCCTCACTCTGACCCTCACCTCGGGCAGATATTTAGTCTCTAAGCCTCAGTTCCTTAACCCTAAAATTGCAATAATAATGTCAGGCTCACAGAGTTGTATAAGCATTAAATAAGGCACGAAAGCACCCAGCATAGGAGCTAGCAAAGCGGTCCTCGAGGGGGGCAGTTTTATCCCCCAGGGGACATTTGTGTCTGGAGACATTTTTGGTTACTACAGCTGAGAGGTGGTAGCTACTGGCAACTACTGGGTTAAGATCAAGAATGCTGCTAAACATCCTACAATCTACAAGACAGCCCCTACAACAAAGAATTATCTAGCCCAAAATGTCAACAATGTCAAGGCTGAGAAACCTTGGCCTAGCACTTAGTGAGCACTCAATAAATATAAGCTATGGAACTATCCTTGCTATTATAGCAATAAACAAGAAAGTAATAGTTTCTTCCTTTCAAGGATAATCAGGATCTGTGATTAAAATGACAAGAGATAGAATGTATTACTTACTCTACTTCTTGTAATACTGGGTAACATATCTGTCATTCTGGAGACAGGAAGAGTCTGTTGCTTGGTTGATTCTGAGGAGCCCAATAACTTTGTGAAATAAATAACATAGCAGAGCACCAGAACTGCAGTATAGAAAAGCTGAAAAAAGAAAATAATGGATTTAAATTGCACAGTTTTAATATAGGCAGAATTAAGATATAACTATGAATTTGACCTCAAAGGCCAATCAAGAAATGGCTTGTGGTGCCTGGGTGGCTCAGTTGGTTAAGCATCCGACTCTTGATTTTGGCTCAGGTCATGATCTCATGTTCGTGAGTTTGAGCCCTGAGTCAGGCTCTGTGCTGATGGCGCAGAGCCGGTTGGGATTCTCTCTCTCTCCCTCTCTCTGCCCTTCCCGCTCTCTCTCTCTCTCTCTCTCACATCAATCAATCAATCAATCAATCTTAAAAAAAAGAGAAATAGAACCGTCTTTATTAACTGTACCTTCTAGCGAGCAATGCCCCACCCTCTGGAAAAGAGCACTACTCACTAAAAGCCAGCTCTGCTGGGGCATCTCTGGGAAAAGTGCTCCAAACCCTTGACCTGACTAGGAGAACAGTGCTTCCAGGCAGGCAGAACATAATTTCCATGACAGACAGCCCATAGTGTCACCACTACAGTAATGTCACATATGTTCTCAAAATGTTTGTAGTTGGCCAAAGGAACGAGTCTCCCGCTTAGACAGCACACCGTGAGGACCCATATGTACTGTGCTAATATCTGGGGACTTGCCATCATCTAGGATGGGGGATTTTCCATAAACCCAGGAAGCCTGTCACACTGTGATTACAAAGCAGAAATAAGCTGTTGGCTCCCTCCTCTCAGCCCACTGTGTGGGCAAGGCAAGAGCTACTACAGGACAGGGGAGGGAGTCAGGGGGGTGATAGGAGGGCCCACCCTTCCCTCCACTCACCCAGGACAAAAGGGTGGCTTTTGGCCAGGAGCGGCAGCCTGGGGTTTTGTTTGCAGGTTGGGAGGAGTATCCAAACAGCCCCTTTCACAAGCTCTCTTCTTCCTTCTCTCCCCCCTGGGAACAGCAATGTGCACTAGCTCAGGAAGGAACAGGACCTCCAGGCCCCGCTTTCAATCTGGTAACGTCAGGCCTGCTCCTGTGGCAAAGGCACAGAGCAAGGAGAAAGGGGAGTCTTGTCTAGTGGGTTCAGGCTCCTCAGCTCTCCACCCTTATCCATGCCTGAGGACAGAGCCCGCCATCCACCATCCTTCTTTCATGCCTCAAGCCCTCTGAGACACCGCAGCTCTGCTGTGAGCCATAGCACCAGATGCAACATCTTCTGTGACAAGAGTACCCGTTCGCTACCTCCCTTCATCTTCCCACAGAGCAGCGCCTGGGGGCAGTAACAAACTGTGAGTAGTCTTCATGCACTGAATCCCAACTACATGATCCTTCCCTCTTTTTATTGGGAAAAATTCACATAACATGACGTTGACTATTTTAACCATTTTAAAACATACAATTCAGTGGCTTTTCATACATTCACAGTGCTGTACAACCATCACCACTATTTCATTCCAGAACATTTCCATCACTCCAAAAGGCAATTCTGTGCCCATTAAGCAGTCACTTTCTACTCCTCTGTCCCTGGCAATCAAATTCTGCTTTGTCTCTATGGACTTGCCTATTCTGGACATTTTATATTAATGGAATCACACAATAGGTGGCCTTTTGTGTCTGGCTTTGTTCACTTGGTATCATGTTTTCAAAGTTCATGGTGTCGTGGCACATTATCATTTTTATGGCTGAGTAATATTCCATGGCATAGATATGCCACATTTTGTTTATCCTTTCATCAGTTGATGGACATCTGGTTCTTTCCTCCTTTTGGCTATGGTGAATAGTGTTGCTGTGTACAAGTTGTTTGAACTCATGCTTTCATTCTTTTGGGTATATACCTAGGAGTGGAATTGCTGGGCATACATCAGTTCTACATTTAACTTTTTTTTTTT